AAATTTTGAGAGAAATTGAAAAAAAAATTGTTTCGTTTAAGGAAGTAGTTTGCTTCCTTATACCAATAAGTGGCACTGAAGAAAGTATACTATATGCGAAAAGAGCAAGGGATGTTATTATGCATAAATGTACAGACTCGCAACGATATATAAATAGGACTGACAAACGTGATCTTTGTGACGTTTTTAGCAGTAAAATGCTATTTGACGTGAGTGGTGCTTCCAATTTATTTCGGCGGTCATCATCACAAGAACTGAAGCGCGGCAAGTGCCTGTCTAATTTTTGGCACGACTTTAAAAATCGTATACATATATATATGTGTGTATGTGTGACGTTTTATGAGACGTGGCATCTTTCAAAATACGTCTGCCAATGATCACAGTGAAATGTTTATATGCCTCTTACGTGCTTCCTCCACTTTACGCACATAATTGTTATACAAGTGTTACTAATGTCATTAAATCCAATTCAGCGTTATTAATTAACTTCAATTTTTAACATAATCAAATTATCGCAATTATGATTTTATTCGTTACATTTAATTGCTCTTATCTACCTATTATTATTATTATTATTATTATTATTTGTATCATTTTTTTTACTTTTATTTTATTTTTTTGTGATTTTGTAAGGTAAATGTGGGGGTTATCGTCAATGCTCCGGTTATCGGCAGATGTCGCAGTGATTTACTTGTAATAAGAATCTGTGATAGTTATTATCCATGAAATTGGCGTAGTTGTCATTGTTATATATCTGGTTATAACTGGCAAAACTTTTTTTAGTGAAAAAGGTGAGTCAATTTCAAATAAAAAAATGTTATTTTGGCCCGTCGTGTTGCCGTGGTGAAACGAGTCAACTTCTTAAGTTTTAGGTTAGGAGTGCACGTGGCGAAAAAGATCTCTGTGTTTCTGAGTGAAGGGATATTATGCAGTAAGTAAATTTTTATCTTGTAAATAAATACTTGTGCATCATTTACGTAAAAAAGTTTTTTGGAAAAATATACTGAATTTTTTAAAAATTAAGATTGTCGGTGACACATACATCGATTCTGTTGGTGTGGAAGTAACCGGCGTGACTGTCGAACACTGACACATTGACAGGTTTCTGAAATTAGTCGATTTTTTTATATTTACATTAAAAATTATATAAAAAACAGTATGGAAAACTATTAAATATATATTAATATTGTCTCTGTTCAGTGTTCGTCAGTCAAAATAATATTTCTAAATGTTAAATTAAAAGTAAATATTTGGTTTTGATAACTACAGCTTTGATCAAAATAAACATCCATCTGTAGTATTCGGCATTGATTTATTTATATCCCAAATTGAATTTTCTTGTGTTATTTTCATTTTTATATGCTTACACAAAAAATATATTAATATAATGCTTTAAATATTTTAAAATAATAATGGTAAATATTAATATCACACATTATTTTTTAAAAATATTTCTGCGATTCAGTCTTGTTATAATTTATTTAAAATAATTGTTAACAGATATAAGAAATAATTAATTTTACTATAATATTATTTAATTTATAGGAATGTCTAAAAAACTGAATTATCCAGAAGATCAAATTAGAGTTGCATTCGATACGAGAAAATCGTTAAACTCGTTCGACTTCACTCGATTACCAAATGAGTTTTACGATCTCTTCACTCGATTATTCTTTTGTTTATAATCGGATCGAATCGTCTCGTAATAACGAGCGATAACTTCCGTCTTATGAATGTTTTGACATGTGCAAAATAAATAATTAATTTTCAAGTAAATTTGAAAAATGGAAGTCACAGAAAAACAAGATTCAATTCCACAAATTGCTGAAGCGAATAAAAAGTTCTTGAATTAAAATTTTGGTGTTTTGTATCAATAAAATATATTATTTATTAAATTTACATTTTCTAGTGACGGAGGTAATGTTGGCGAAGCTGGTGTTTTTAAATCGAGGAAGCGCAAAAATGGTGGTTTATCGTTAGATAATTCGTTTCAATATACGGTTAAGGACGGTATCAAATATGGAACATGTAGATTGTGTAAAGAAACACCAGTGATTATTAAAATGAAAGATTCGAACACGTCCGGTTTAAAGCGACATCTCAGAAATCACCATTCAAAGGAATATTCAGAAACTTATCCGGCCGAAAATGTTTCGATTCAAGTATTTTTAAATTTTTAAATAAAAAATAAATTTATTAATTACAAAATTTAAGAAATTTAATTTTTCATTATCTATCTAATTTTATTTGTTAATTTTTATTCTTACCGTTTTCTCATGATGAAATCAAATTTAAAATTACAATAATTTTTCAAATTTTAATTATACAAAGTGGTAGAAATAATATTTAAAATTATTTCAATTATTATTATTAAAATTAAAAGTTATAACAAAATTTTAGTCGTGAATTTAGAATCTTTATAAATATTTAAATTTTTTTCAAAATTAGACTTTTGATCAAGCCACATTTGATGTGAAGGTTGTCGATTGGACAACATCGAAATATTTGCCATTTTCGTTTTTTGAGGATCAAAAGACTCAAGAATTATTCCATTATTTGAAACCCGAAGTTAATTTGCCGTTACGCTCTTTTTTAAAGTCACAATGCGAAAAACGATTTCAAGAAAAACAAGAGGTTGTTTTAAAAATCTTGCTCGAAAATTCGTCTAAAATTTCTTTCACCATAGACGGTTGGACATCGCTGGCTCATCGATCGTACTACGGGATTACGGCTCATTTTATCGATGACGATTGGATTTTACATTCCTTAGTCATTGATTTTCTTTCTTCTAATGGACATCACACTGGACGTGATATAGCGGAATTATTCCACAGTGTTATTCGCAAATACTGTTTAGAGAAGAAAGTACAAGGGATCACCGTAGACAACGCCTCTGCGAATACTAAGCTCATGGAAGAACTGTCCAAAATTATGATCAATTTCAAAGCCAGTGAACAGCATTATCGTTGCTTAGCACACCTTTTAAACCTGGCTGTTCAAGATTTTTTGAAAATACTCCGAATTGATGACATCAAAGATACTGATGAAAATAGTGATGGGGAGGAAAACGATACTGACGACGAAAACACCAAAGATGATGAAGAGTTTTACTCTGAAAATTTGGGAAGAACCTCTCCTCTCTCGAAACTTAGATCCTTATTCAGTTTGCTGAAAAATTCGGAGCAAAGGAGGAATAAATTAATTTCCTGTTGCACTGTGTGTAATGTAAAATTTCTGGCTCCAAACATTGACGTAACAACTCGTTGGAATTCCACGTACGACATGCTAACGTTAGCATTCAAAATGAAACCAGCACTAAATATGCTTTGTGAGAACAACTTCGATTTACAAAAGTTCGTGCTTTCTGCCAAAGAGTGGGAAATTTTGGAAGAAGCGTCCACATTTTTGGAGTATTTCAATGTTTTATCGATTAAGTTGAGTGGAGATAAATACGTGACTCTACCCTCAGTAATTATAGGATTCAATTTATTGCTGGATAAACTTGAAGTTGCGAAAAACAACCTCATTTTGAAAGATGTCAGGACGCAAGTACAAGAAATTCTTTTAGATGCTCTAGAAGCTGCTATTGAAAAGCTTTTGAAACATTATAGAAAATTTCACTGGGTATATTGTGTTGTTCTGATTCTGGACCCTCGACATAAAATTGAAACCTTTCAATTTACCGAGTGGGGTAAAGAAATGGCTAAACAATCCATCGAAATGTTTTATCAGATATATGAATCTCAGTATTACCAAAAAAAGGTATTTTTTAATATTAATCTTGTACTGAGACAAAAAGTTTATTTAAATCGATACATTTTCTTAAATTAAAAAATTATTAAATTTTAATTTATCATTTTTATTTAAAATAAATTATTTAAAATATTTTCTGTTTCCCTAAAATTTTAGTTTTTTACTAAATGTCATTTTCTCTTTTAATTCAATTTTTTATTTTGTCATTGGGAAATAATTTTATATTATTTTAATTAAAAAAGAGTTTATGTATAGTCTGTGTATACATACTATATACGTTTATTAAATTACTTAATAATAGGTCACTGATGAACCAGGAAAAGAATTTTCAAAAGTTAACAAAACTAATTTAGAAACTGATGACAAATTTGATATGGACGTTTTATTCTCGTCCGATTCCGAATGTGATGATATTCCTGTTCCGAAAAATTCTAAATCGCCTGAATGGAAATGGGAAATAGATTATTATTGTTCTCTAAAACGAGCTGGAAAAAAGACCAACATTCTCGAATGGTGGAAGAAACATGAAACAATCTTACCCAACCTTGCAAGAATGGCACGTGACTTTTTGTGTACAAGCGCAACATCCGTTCCATCGGAAAGATTATTTTCACGTAGTTCTCTTGTTATCAGGAAGCATAGGAACCGCTTATCTGACAATTCTATTACCCTCTTAATGTGTCTTAATTCGTGGAATAATTGTTCCCTTACTTCGAAGATTGATTCATTAATTGAAAATAAGTGAAATAAAAATGTTTAAAGCTTCGTTCTGGCTGATATTTATCAATTTCAAATAAAATTATTTATTTGATAATTATGTTTCATGAATTTATTAATTGTTTTTAGTATAGCCGCGCAATCAAAATGAAATTAATAATTATTCAAAATCAAATATTGTCAAATTTATTACACTTGCCGGAAAATAAGTGTTAATTGAAATCAAAAGTCAATTCAATTAAATGAAGATGTTATTTTATTATTTTTTAAATATATTTTCATATAAAATTTCTATAATTAATTAATTATCAAAAAAATAAGGTTAACAAAAAATTAAAAAACTTTTAAATTATTGAATTACAAAAAATGAAAATTGAACGGACAAATAGATAATTTAATTATTATAAAAAATATACTTAATTATTTTAAATTATATATGATTATGTAATAATTTATGGATTTAAAAAAAATATCCTTTTTGGTTAGAAGGGTTAGAAGAAGAATATTTTCTTGACGTTTAATTCTTAAAATCTCATTGTATATACTTTCAATGAATAGGTTATTAATTCATTTATCACTAAAAATTCAATTATGAACTGCATAATTCCACAAATATTCTAAACTTTGCATTATCATATAAAAAATTTTAAATATCAAGGTTAAGGCAACTGACTTTATCGAGATCGATCGTTTTAACGAGAGATTGTTGAAACGATACGAGACGAAACGATAAAAGTATAACAATTGAACGAGTGTGTGGATCGTTTAGGTTATTTATCGTAATTTCTCGCTCGAATGCAACTCTAGATCAAATGCTGGCAGCTTTGAAAGATGTCGAAAATGGGATGACCTTAAGCGCTGCCAGTAAACTTTATAATGTACCTCGAACCACATTATGGGACAAATATCATGGACGGTCTCCTGTCGAACGAAAGATGGGACCTGAATGCGTTCTATCGAAAGAAGAGGAAACATTGCTTGTTCAGTGGATGTTTGATGTTGGAAAATGTGGATTTCCTGTTACAAAAGAGCAGCTTTTAGATAGCGTACAACTGCTCGTGAAGGAGCTTAAAAAATCTACTTGTTTCACAAATGGTAGACCTGGCAGAGCATGGTATGATGCTTTTCGAAAACGACACCCAGAAATATCTCAGAGAGTTTCTCAAAATTTAACGAAAAATCGAGCTTCATTGACGGAAAATAAAATTCGTGGATGGTTTAAAGAAATAACTGAATATTTCGAGGAAAATCTTTTGTCTTCCTTACTTGCTGATGGCAGTAGGATTTTCAACTGCGATGAAACTGCTTTTTTTCTTTGTCCTAAAGGAAATCATGTCTTAGTTAAAAAGGGCGACAAAGCAGTTTATAATTTTGTTAATAGCGATGAAAAGGAATGTATAACCACTTTAATAAATGGTAATGCATCTGGACAACTTGTACCTCCAATGGTCATATTTTCGTACAAGCGAGTTCCTGCGGATATAGCGGCTTCGATTCCTAAAACCTGGGCATTGGGTACATCAAGCAACGGTTGGATGACAGGAGAAACATTCTTCGAGTACATAGCCAACATATTCCATCCATGGATATTAAAAGAAAAAATTCCGCTGCCTGTTATTTTGTATTTGATGGACACTCTTCTCACATAACGATGGCTACAAGTCAATTCTGTCAAGAACATCAAATCATTCTCATCGCACTTAACCCGAATTCAACTCACGTTCTTCAGCCACTGGACGTTTCGTTTTTTGGGCCACTGAAAAAAGAATGGAGAAAAATTATAACACATTGGCGAATGGAAAATTTTGGTCAAAAATTAACTCGTAAAGATTTTGCCCCATTGTTACAAAAGACTTTAAATAACTGCAATGTTTCACAATATCTGCAGAGTGGCTTCCGAACTTGTGGTTTATACCCCTTCAACCCTGACGCTGTAAATTATGGAAAACTATTGCAACCTTCTGAAGTTCGTACAGAAAAAAACGTTGATGGTATCGAATTACATTTACGGTTTCTCGAGCAGCAAATACCACCAGAAAAAATTGATTTGTTTAAGTCTTCCGGAAATTTTTGGACGGGAGAAATTCAAGATCAAAATCTGTTTACATTGTGGTTCCAATTGAAAAAGAAATGTGGAGAGATTGATGTCTACACTGATTTGGATTCGGAAAATTCATTACAAGAAGCAACCTGCGAAATTCAAGATGATAATCCGGACTTCTCAAGGTGTGGACCTATCTTGCAGGAGGATTCTTCACCTTCTTTTGTGTTGGCCGATAACCTAGATGACAATGCAATAGTGATGGAAGCAAACGCCTCAGCTTCATTTAATGAAGAGTTTAATGGTTTTGTGTTGGCCGATAACCTAGATGACAATGCAATAGTGATGGAAGCAAACGCCTCAGCTTCATTTAATGAAGAGTTTAATGGTTTTGTGTTGGCCGATAACCTAGATGACAATGCAATAGTGATGGAAGCAAACGCCTCAGCTTCATTTAATGAAGAGTTTAATGGTTTAGTTCCAGTTATTACAGTGCCAAGTAATGTATCGACAGTTACAAATGAAAGCGATTCCTGCAGAGAATTAAATATCCTTGTGGATAATGTAGAAGAAAACAATCCAAATGCGTGCAACACTCCAAAAGGTCGTAATATACCGTCTCCTTTTAAACGAGCTTTGTTTTGGCCAGGTGATCTGAACACAAAAAAACAAGCTAATCAGAAACGAATACCAAAAAACAAAGTGCCAGCGGTAGCTGTATCTGAGAAGTGGAGGGAGTATTATTTACAAAAAGAAGAACAAAAAAAAGTAACCGCATTAGAAGCTGCAAACCGAAAAAAACAACGTGAAGAAAAAGTTAATGCAAAAATAGCAGCATTAAAAACAAAAAGAGAAGAAAGAGATAGGAAACGAGCTGAAAAAGCTGAAATCCGAACACAGTTAAAAAATATGAAAAAAGAGAAGAAAGAACAGAAATTAATAAATAAATTAAAGGAAATAGGACATCGATGGACCCGTAGTTCTAAAAGGTCGATTCCAGGAGCAGAAGAATGAAATCATGTGATATTTTAGCCAAAAGATAAATACATTTAATCGTTTCCATATTACGATTCATAATGTCTTTAATATTAAAAATGAAACAATTTGTTTTTATAATCAATTTTACGTTTTATATATTTAAATATATTTTACGTTGTTACATTGTTTAAATGTTCGAAAGAAAATTTAAGACACATGCCAAAATTTGTGTTACTAGTTAAATCGTTTACTAGTTTTTTAATTTGTGGATATATGTAATTAAATAAATTAAAATAAAATTTATATTTTTAATGAATGGATGTTTAAACAAAATTTCTTTCATTATTCGTGATGTTTTGCATTAATATTACAAAAAATATATTCAATATTAAAATTGTCGATAACTACTACATGAAAATGCCGATCACTACATCAGTCAACTTTTCGGATTGCCGATAACCCCAACATCACTGCATTTCTTGTTTAAAACTTCTCCCAAATTTATTTAAAAAATTATAACTGATATTTCAAAGTTAATATACATTTTAGAATATCTATTTTATTTGACAAACCATAATATGTGATTTTTAATTATGTTATTATACGTTTTTAAGACTTCTGAAGTGCCGAAATCAGCTTAAGGTGTCGATAACTCCCACATTTACCTTATACACCGAGAAAAAAGAGATTTCTTTGATTCAAAGAAATCAATTTCTTCGACAAATTTTTTTTTGATTCAAAGAAAATTTATTTGTTTTAAACAAATTATCTTTGATTCAAAAAAAAATTATCTTCGTTTCAAAGAAATTTGTTATTTAATTCAAAAAAATGCTTCTTTGACCCAATATCAATGTTAGAATTTCTTCGATTTAATGCACAAATTTCTTTCATTCAAAGAAAATTTGTTTCAATCAAAGAAATTTTCTTCGAATGAAATAAACATTTTTTGTTTCAAAGAAAATTTTATTTTGAATGAAAGAAAACAAGTCAAAGAAAATGATTTCTTTAAATCAAAGAAATCTTTTCTCTGCGAGTGTATTTCCTAACAAAAATTGATATAGATTTTACTACTGGCGCAGTACTCATATCAAATAATCATCAGTTATTTGACTATGATCAAATAAATAAATATTTACTTCAACCAAATAATTTTTATATGCATTAAATAAACTTTATTTGAACCAATAATTTCAGTATTTAAAACAAATACAAAGAAACTGCAATTTTTTTGACTTGTTTTCTTTCATTGAAAATAAATTTTTTTTTGAAACAAATAAATTTTCTTTGTATCAAAAAAAAATTTGTCAAAAATATTTAATTCTTTGAATCAAAGAAATCTTTTTTCTGAATGTATATCATTTAATTGACTCAAATAATAATTATTTGATTTAAATAAATATTTATTTGATACTATATAGTCAAATAACCGTTCATTTAATATTTATATAGGTATTAAGTTTCTCCACGCTTTTTTCACGTTTATTGTACTTTATGTGCATATTATACGATTTGAAAATTTCGTAATGCGCTAAAATTAGGTGTTGGTCGCCTTTTCTCATATTAGCTGCGAGCATATATACAACACTTATATTTTCATTATGTTCGCGTAATTTACAAAAATAGGTGCGAAAAGCATAAAAGGAAAGGCGAGACATTATTAAATTAATAATTTAACCTTAATAATAATTTTAATAAATTTTATACAATAAGGGAATAAAAAATTAAAATAATTATATTATTATTAAATTAAAATAAAATTTCTCATTATTTCACGCAAAAACAAAATGATATTTCAATTTTCCTTTTATTAATATAATATAATTAGTCTGCAATTATAAATATAACAATTTTATAAGGAATATGAGAATTCTATACTGTTAATATTTCTCTCTCATTAGAGAGAAAAAAAATTAGAGAGAGAGAGAACACTATATAGAATCAGAAATGGTATAAAACCTGTTTTAGTGCAGCTGCGCTGTTTCCGCAGAAAATTAAGACACCCGGCAAAAATTAGCAGTTTTTTTTTCTTTATTTTAATAGTACAATATATATATCTTGGAAATCAGAAAACTAAAGGAAAATATATTGAAATAAAAATAATAGTAAAGTTTACCCCACCCCCCCTTTTCCGTTTCTCGTAAATTGAATAAAAAAATTTATATTTACGACTGACCATGAAGTTCGATCGACTTTTAAATCAATGACGTATCTATATTGGTATCTTATAACATGTTTTCGACATGTAAATGGTCCTAGCAGTTATTACAATCCATAAACACTATATATATATATCTCTCTAATTTACGAGCATAACTTACGACAATGTTGGCCCCGAGAGGTGAATGTAATATTTTTGACTGATATAACCAGGAAAATTATATGTATTACATTTTCCACTCATGTGGAAATAAAAAAAAATTTAATTTAATTATATTAAAAACTATATTTTTAAATATTAACCCAATGTTTATTGTGAAAATTCTTTCACTGAAAAAATTATATGCAAAAAAGAATATCTTTTTGGCGCCTATTTAACCCTTTCAGGGGCACATTATTCTAAGCATACAAATTTTTGTTTCATTACGTATTTATACGTTTTTTGGGTCGCTGAATACAAATCCGAGGTCAGATTTTGCAAATTTAAAAAATTCAAAATGGCGAATCCAATATGGCGGACATTTTTTTTTAAATTCAATATATTCGCTTGAAACTTGTTACTCGGGGGTTTTCGGGGTCGCTGATTACGAATTTAATGCCCGTTTTTCAAAATTCAAAATGGCGGATCCAATATGGCGGACAGATTTTTTAAAAATTGCTTGCATTTGTTTAAAAATTGGTACTCGGGGGTTTTTGAGGTCGCCGATTACGAATCCGACGTTAGTTTTTCAAAATTCAAAATGGCGGATCCAATATGGCGCATGACTTTTTGAAAATCTAATATTATTGGCCTGAAAATTGTTACTTGGAGGTTTTCGGGGTCGCTGATTATAAATCCTCCGAGTAACAATTTTCAGGCCAATAATATTAGATTTTCAAAAAGTCATCCGCCATATTGAATCCGCCATTTTGAATTTTGAAAAACTAACGTCGGATTCGTAATCAGCGACCCCGAAAACCCCCGAGTTACAATTTTCAGGCCAATAATATTAGATTTTCAAAAAGTCATCCGCCATATTGGATCCGCCATTTTGAATTTTGAAAAACTGACCTCAGATTCGTAATCAGGGACCCCAAAAACCCCCGAGTAAAGATTTTCAAAGTCGTAGCACTTCGCGTTTACAAATAGCTGAATTAATTATTAAAAAAATGCATATTTTTCAGATTGATGGAATAATATTAAGTTAACAATAACAAATTATTCATAAACAATATTATAGATTCGTTATATTATATCCTTAGAATCTAAAGATAAGAAATATATGATTATTATTAGATAAATATGCCGGAAATACCAAAAATACAACAACAAAAAAGGTGGGACGTATACGTCCCACTGCCCCTGAAAGGGTTAAAAATATTTCCCATGCATTTTATTCTTAAAGTTAGAAAATAATATTCTTAACCCTTAATTGGTACCATGGGTCCAATAGACCCGAGTATTTTTTCGAGCTCCAATTAATTAAATCTGCATTAGTAAAAAAGTTTACTATGTAATTTGAATTAGTGACTTACTTTTTGCTTCTCAATTAGTAAAATTTAACTAATTTAAATTAGTAAACATTTTTACTTATTCAGATTTAGAGAGTGAATGTGTAACTTTTGAATAT